TATGCATTCCTTCAAGGGGTGATATGCATTCCTTCAAAGTGGTGATATGCATTCCTTCAAGGCGGCAGGTGATATGCATTCCTTCAGGGCGTGCTATATATTTGGTGAATCCGTAGAGAACACACAGCCTCCATCTTGCTCGGCAGCGTTTTACTCCGAGCTCTTCCTGTTAGCACTCACACTGTGTTTTGAGGATGACCCTCAGCTACTACCACACTAAACTTTAGCTCATTATCTGTAAAACTGACCGAGTTTCAGCCATTTTTGTTTTGCTATGCTCACTGCCGTCTTGAATGGAGTCGGCTCCAGTTACTGATTACTTTGAATCTCATTATGATCCGTCCAGTAGTTCATGAAATATTTTGCTAACAGACAAATGGAAATGGTCTAAAACAATATGATTACCCTCTTTCTGCCTATCAGTAGATAATTCTGCACTGTCTTGAGTCTCTTTAATCTAAAATATTTACTACAAATATTCTAATTATATTTAAAAACGCCCCTCAGTAGACCTGATTTTCTTTCTGTTAGTAAAATATCTCCTGACGTGTTGTTCTTTAAATCTTCTCGTAGATCACGGCCATGCTTTTGTGTCTGGCTCTGGGTCTGGAGGAACACTGGACGTCTCCTCCGGTGGAAACCACGGTGGACGACTTCAACAGAGTGAAGTACCAGCCCAAACCCTCCCTGTCCTGACCTTTGACCCCGTCGGAGCCAAACGAACCGATCGTTTTGTGAGACGATCACATGGACGCAAAGACAGAGCGGGACTTCAGAAGAAGGCGGTGACGAAAACCACCAGTTTCTTCTTTAGTTCTTCCAAACCGCTCCAGTGAGTTTGTGTTTTGGGGACGTTTGATCCACAGTTAGACGTTCAGCTCTGAAGGCCCCACAGATGTTTTACGTGTCTTTTTATCGCCCGCCTCCATGAAAGGCAGGCGTTGATGTGTGTTAGTAAATATTTCACGACACACTGGAGCTCAGCCCTGACATCAGCAGCTACACCTGTTCCTGTTAAAACCGTTAAAACAATGAGATTTCTGTGAAAATCCACTTCAGCTTGGTGGGCTCGCGCTCCGGTGGTCCTCACTACAGTGATGCTGTAGCGCGTTAGACCCTTGAGTGTCGCCGCTCTGTACTCGGCTGGCAGATTTCATTTCAGCGACGTTTCATCTGAACAGGAAGTGGAATAACGTGAGACAGAGACAAGTAAAATATCTCTGTTTTCAGGGCACAAAGTGGGTTTTTGTTGTAAAATATTTGGATTAGCAGCTTTTGTCAGTTATCTTTAAATATTTACATGTTTTAATGTTTGCAGATTAAATAATATGAGCAGCTAATTCGGACTCCTTGGTATGGAAGAGGCCACGCAGCAATTATTCTTTTTTCCTTTACTCTGAGAAAAAAAGTCAAAATTCTAAGATTATAGTCAGAATTAATCTGATTAAATCTCAGAATTCTGAGGTTAAATCCAGAATTCTCAGATTAAAGTCAAAATTTGAGAAAAAAAAGTCAGTATTTTGAGATTAAAGTCAGAATTCTGAGATTAAAG